AATCCTTTCCCCATTTCTTGTTTTTGTCACATTTGTTGAAGATCAGATAGTTATAGGTGTGCAGTCTTTTTTCTGGGTTCTCTATTCTGTTCCATTGGTCTATGTGTCTGTTTTTGTACTAGCACCATGATGTTTTGGTTGTCGTAGCCCCATAGTATAGTTTGGAGTCAGGTAGCTATTATTAAAAAGAAAAAAATAACAGATGCTCGCAAAGTTGTGAAGAAAAAGGAATGCTTGTCTACTGTTGATGGGAGTGTAAATTAGTTCAGCCATTGTAGAAGGCACTGTGGTGATTTCTCAAAGATCTAAAGATAGAGATACCATTCAACCCAGCAATCCCTTTACTGGGTATATACCCAAAGGATTATAAATCATTCTATTATAAAGACACATACATATGTATGTTCATTGTAGAACTATTCACAATAGCAAAGACATGAAATCAACCTAAATGCCCAACAATGATAGACTGGATAAAGAAAATGTGGTACATATACACCAACGAATACTATGCAGCCATAAAAGATGAAATCATGTCCTTTGCAAGGACATGGATGGAGCTAGAGGCCATTATCCTTAGCAAACTGACACAGGAACAGAAAACCAAATACCACACGCTCTTACTTTTAAGGGGAAGCTAAATGATGAGAACACATGGACACAAAGAGGGGAACAACTCACACTGAGGCCTTTTGGAGGGTGGAGGGTGGAAGGAGGAAGAAGATAAGGAAAAATAAGTAATGGAGACTAAGCTTAATCTGTAGGTGATGAAATAATCTGTACAATAAACCCCCATGACACAGGTCTACTGATATAAAAAACCTGCACTAGTACTCCTGAGCTTAAAATGAAATTTAAAAAATAAAAAAGAAATAATAAAGATCAGAGTAGAAATAAATGAAATTGAAATAAAAAATACAAAAAAGTCAATGAAACAGTCCAGGCATGGTGACTCACGCCTGTAATCCCAGCATTTTGGGAGGCTGAGGCGGGTGGATCACGAGGTCAGGAGATTGAGACCATCCTGGCTAATACGGTGAAACTCCGTCTCTACTAAAAATACAAAAAAATTAGCTGGGCATGGTGACAGGCACCTGTAGTTCCAGCTACTCAGGAGGCTGAGGCAGGAGAATGGCGTGAACCTGGGAGGCGGAGCTTGCAGTGAGCCAAGACTGTGCCACTGCAGTCCAGCCTGGGCAATAGAGCAAGACTCCATCTCAAAAAAAAAAAAAAAAAAAAAAGGAACAACAACAACAAAAATCAATGAAATAAAAAGTTGGTTTTTTGAAAAGTTCAACAAAATTGACAAACCTTTATCCAGACTAACTAAGAAAAAAAGAGAGAATATCTAAATAAATATAATCAGAGGTGAAAAAGACATTACAACTGATACTACATAAATTCAAAGGAACATTACTGGCTACTATAAGCTACTGTATGCCAATAAGTTGGAAAATCTAGAAGAAATGGACAAATTCCTAGACACAATGAACCTCGTTCAAGATTGAACCAGGAAAAACATCCTGAACCTGAACAGACCAATAACAAGTAATGAGATCAAAGCTGTAATAAAGTTTCCCAGTAAAGGAAAACCTGGGACTCAGTGGTTTCACTGTTGATTTCTACTGAACATTTAAAGAAAAACTAACCAATCCTACTTAAATTTTTCCAAAAAATAGAGGAGGGAACATTTCCAAACTCATTCTATGAGGCCAGTATTACCCTGATACCAAAACCAGACAAAAACACATTAAAAAAAGAAAAGAAAAGAAAAGAAAACTGCAGACCAATATCTCTGATGAACATTGGCACAAAAATCCTCAATAAAATATTAGCAAACTGAATGTGACAATACATTAGAAAGGTCATTCATCATGAACAAGTGGGATTCATCCCTGGGATGCAAGTATTGTTCCATGCATGCAGATCAATCAATGTGAAACATCATATCAACAGAATGAAGGACAAAAACCATGTGATCATTTCAATTGATGCTGAAAAAGCATTTGATAAAATTCAACAACTATTCATGATTTAAAACTCCTCAAAAAACTATGTATAGAAGAAACATACCTTAACATAATAAAAGCCGTATACAACCCACAGCTAATATCATACTGAACAGGGAAAAAATGAAAGCCTTTCCTCTAAGATCTGGAATATGACAAAGATGCCCATTTTCACCACTGTTATTCAATGTACTACTGGAAGTCCTAGCTAGAGCAATTAGACAAGAGAAATAAATAAAGGCATCCAAATTGGAATGGATGAAGTTCATGTTATCCTTGTTTGCAGATGACACAATCTTTTATTGGAAAAACCTAAAGACTCCACCAAAAAACTATTAGAATTGATAAACTCAGTAAAGTTGCAAGATGGAAAATCAACATCCAAAAATCAGTAGCATTTCTGTATGCCAATAGTGAACAATCTGAAAAGAAATGTTTAAAAGTAATTCCATTTACAATTGCCACAAATAAAATTAAATACCTAGGAATTAAGCAAAGAAGTAAAAAATATCTCTATAATGAAAACTATAAAACATTGATGAAAAACATTGAAGAGGACACCAAAAAATGGAAAGATATTCCATGTTCATGGATTGGAAGAATCAATATCATTAAAATGTCCATACAAGCCAAAGCAATATACGGATTCAATGCAATCCCTATCAAAATGCCAATGACATTCTTCACAGAAATAGAAAAAACAATTCTAAAATTTATGCGGAACTGCAAAAGACCCAGAATAACCAAAGCCATGCCTAGCAAAAAGAACAACACTGGAGGAAACACATTACCTGACTTCAAATTATACTACAGAGCTATAGTAACCAAAACAGCATGAAAACAGCATGGTACCGGCATAAAAACAGACACATAGACTAATGAACCACAATAGAGAACCCAGAAACAAACCCACATGCCTATAGTGAACTCATTTTTGACAAAGATACCAAGAACATACACTGGGGAAAAGACAGTTTCTTCAATAAATTGTGCTGGGAAAACTGGATATTCATATGCAGAAGAATGAAAGTAGGTCTGTATCTCTCACCATACACAAAAATAAAATGAAAATAGATTAAAGACTTAAATCTGAGACCTCAAATTATGAAACTACTACAAGAAAAAAATGAGGACAATCTCTAGGACACTGGTCTGGGGAAAGATTTCTTCAGCAATACCCCACGAGTACAGGCAACCAATACAAACACTGACAAATGGAATAACATCAAGTTAAAAAGCACAGCAAAAGACACAATCAACAAAGTGTAGAGACAGCCCACGAAATGGGAGAAAATATTTGCAAACTACCTATCTGGCTAGGGATTAATAACCAGAATATATAAGGAGCTTAAACAACTTTATAAGTAAAAATTTAATAATCCAATCCAAAAATGAGCAAAATATTTGAATAGACATTTCTCAAAGGAAGACATACAAATGGCAAACAGGCATGTGAAAAGATGCTCAACATCACTGATCATCAGATAAATGCAAATCAAAACTACAGTGAGATATCATCTCACTCCAGTTAAAATGGCTTATATCCAAAAGACAGGCAATAAAAATGCTGGAGAGGATGTGGAGAAAAGGGAACCCTCGTCCACTGTTGGTAGGAATGTAGATTAGTACAACCACTATGGAGGACAGTTTGTAGGTTCCTCAGAAAAAAAAAAAAATGTATATATAGAGCTACCATATGATCCAGCAATCCCACTCCTGGGTATATACCCAAAAGAAAGGAAATCACTAAATCAAAGAGATAGCTGCACTCTTTTGTTGTTGCAGCACTGTTCACAACAGCCAAGATATGGAAGAAATCTGTGTCCATCAACAGATGAATGGATAAAGAAAATGTAGTACACCATAGAGTACTATTCAGCCATTAAAAAAAAGAATGAGGTTCTGTCACTTGCAACAACATGGATGGAACTGGAGATTATTATGTTAAGTGAAATAAGTCAGGCACAGAAGGACAAACACTGTATTTCTCACTTACGTGTGAAATTTAAAAATCAAAACAATTGAACTTATGGGCCTAGAGAGCAGAAGGATGGTTACCAGAGGCCGGGAAGGGTAACCGGGGGAGATGGGGATGGTTAATGGGTACAAAAATAATAGTTACAAAGAATGAATAAGACAAATAAGACCTACTATTTGATGGCACAATAGGATGACTATAGTTAATAACAATTTAATTTTGTATTTTAAAATAACTGAAAGAATATAATTGGATTGTTTGTAACACGAAGGATAAATGCTTGAGGGGACGGATACCCCATTCTCCGTGACATGATTATTATTCATTGCATGCCTGCATCAAAACACCACATGCACACCCTAAATATATACACCTACAATGCACCCAGGAAAATTTAAAATTTCATTTATTGTAATTTAGGTTGTTCATGTGTGATCTAAACAAGCATGGGAAGCAGTCAGGGGCAGACAACAGGCATCACTGCGGAAGTGTGAAGCCAGTATTTTTCCAGACACACAGAAGTTGGTCAGAACTAGCACTGGTTTGAGGATTTATATCTCAGCACAAACTCAGGCTATCACGTCAGCTGCTCTGGCTGTGAGTACAGAAGCAGGCTGGCTGCCCACATGTCTGCATTCCCTGGTCACACTGCCCACTCCTGTTTTTGCTGTCTTTGGCCTTCTAGAGAATTGACTGCTCCAAGGTTAAATCTGTCCCAGGAGATGCGTGAAAAATGCCCAGAGTCCTCAAGTGAAATAGGGACATCTATCTATTCAGTCCCAACTTGACCCCTTCCCACCCACACCTCCCGGATTATATGGGCTATACCAGGAGTGTCCACTCCAGAAGTCCTATTGCCCCCCGTCCTTGGCCCAGTCGCCTGGAAACATGAGAATGTATCCACCTTCAAGCCAATGACATTCAGCCTTGTTCTAGGATTCTAGGGGGTCCTACGACCTTTCTATTATTCCCCTTTCTGCCTTGTCCCATAAAGAGAAGGGAAATGTACACACCCGCAGGCTAAGCTCCACGTTCTCTCCTCCATAGATGAGCATTCCACCATCCAGAGACCCGATCTCTCCCAGGAAGTGCCTGTCAGCAGCCAGGATGCCCATGATTGACGGACTCCTACAGAGCACACAGCAAGAGTCATTAATCTCTCCACGAGGAGCGGAGGTGAGGGGTGGGATGCTCAATGAGTATTTGGGCTTCAGAACTCTACCTAAGTCTGTTCTTATCATGAAGGCCCTCCCTAAACTCTCAGGCTGGACTAAGCGCATGCAGCTTTCCCTGGCCCACTGTGTTATCATAACCCTTCTCAAAATATATTGAAATTACATCTTTTTCACCTAGGTATCCTTACTTCATAGCCAGTTAATGCTTGAAATGGCCAAAATGTTTTCCAAAATTTTAAATATTTTGCTTGATTTTTGCCTGAAAGTCCCTAAATATCTCAAAGTGTCTGTGATTTCTTAACTGGGATGACTTCTATCCCTTGTCCTTCACTTCATCCCCTCCCCTCCTTCCACGTCACCCCAAGTACTACCACCAAAGATAAACAAAATCCATGCAGTTCATTCCTGCCTTCCCACATGCTACTCAAGTTCCCTGAACCTCCTCAGACTTACTTCACTGGGGCAGTGACATCATGCTGATCAATCCAGGCTTGTGGCAGTGCATCGTAGCGGCACCAGAGTTCCCAGTTAAACCCATCAACTGCCAGTTCATACTTATCCAGTTTGAAGGTGTCAAAACGAATGTTGTCAAACACAGGAGACACAATCACGGTGCGGTCTTCCTGAATCCGAGCCAAGATTGGCTCTGCCCTAGAAGAAGAGTGTGCAGCAAGCCCAGCTTGGGTATGAGGACAAGCAGTAGGAGGCAGCAGATAAAGCTGTTTCAAGCACCTTGCTATCATTGCCCTGACATTGAGTACCTCCTCCATTTAGGCTGTGCTGGGTTGTGAGTAGAACTCTCCAGAGTCCAGAGAATCTCTGTACCTTTCGGGATAGCTGAAGCTGCTAGCAGCCAACCCACGTCAAGAACAGGTTTGAAATTAGTACCCAAGTAGCACCCCCAGGCCGTTGTGAAGCAGCATTATCAGTATGTATATTACTCCTTGAATTTACGTTATCTCTTGGTTCTCCCTGTTTCCAAGATGATGCTTCTTTCCTGTCTGACTCTCCACATTCTCTAAAGAACATAGTTCTCTTTATTTTATTATGTAATTTCAGGGCTGGGGAAAAAAACCTTTAAAATAACCAAAGGCTAATCTCCTCATCTTTACAGTTGAAGACACAATGTCTAGTTAAGTGAAGTGACTTACTCAAATTCACAAAGTATTTGGCAAAGTCAGAATTATGATCCAACTGTCAATACTCTCCACCATGCTACTTCTCTTAGCCAAGCAAAATGCCTGCATAAAAGCATGCTCCTTTGGAGAGTCCCTTTATTTAAGGCCCAGTACTGACTTTCCCTATGTCCACAGTATCCTGTCCTGTGTTCTGTACATGCACAATGTCTCCTCTCTGCCCTTTCCAGAAGAATCAGCCTCTTTGAGCCTTACCACCCAACATTGACTTCAATGTGAGCATCCAAGATGGCGACCACGTCTGCTGTGGCAGCTTCCCAGCCAGTGTTGCGGGCTTGAGCAAGACCTTTCCTCTCAGGATGCCGTATTATTTTCAGTAGTCCTGGATACTTCTGGTTGTAAAGCTTAATCTTCTCATCCAAGTGTACCTTTAGTTCTCCTGTCAATCAAGTGCACACCTATAGCAATTCTGAGTGCAACAATCAATGTGATACAAAAGTTTTATACTATCATATAATCGTGACTGGACTACCTCCAGCATAAAATGGGCAATTCTAAGAGTCAGCTAGAAAATAAGTCGTATTTCCCCTGCACCTGCCTGTCTTCTCCCTTTCACCTGAGGTGTACTGTGATCATTCCTAATTTCCTTTCCCTCACAGTTAAACTATCTTAGAATGATAATACTGCTTACTACATGTCAGGCACTGTTGTAAGTGCTTTTTCACATTGAGAAGTTCTTGAGAGAATGAGTAGGACAGATCTAGCCCAAGGTGCACACGTTGACGGACAACACTGCAGGAAGGCCTGGAACATCTTCATAGCTAAACTCTCAAGACTCTAGAGAATCCATAAATGACGAAAATTGTTTTGTTTTGGATATTCCCAGTTGACCTACTTAAGGACCAACTGGGACAGAATGCACAGATTAATCTCTTTGCCAGCTTCTAGCTAGTAAATTTAGCCCAAAAATTACGCAAACAAGATTCACTATTCCCAGATTGTTCTCAGGTAGTTTTCTTCCCTCTCTTTTAATAAAGCTTGTCTGTGGCTTTGTTCTTGGGCTCAGCCTACCGCCGACTTCCTCACGTGTAAGAAAACAACTTTCATGCAAATCACTGAACCGTATGCAAAACATCTAACCAAATGACTCTGAGTTACTCGTTGATAAAATTTAGTTAATTCTGAAAGTATCTCATGTGGTCGGCACTACAATATCCCCACTTTACAGATAAAGAAACTGAGGCACAAAGAGTTTTAAAAACTTTTCCAAGTCACGTATCTAGTAAGTGGTATGCCCTGGATGTGAACCTATGCTGTGTTTAGCCCCCAGAACACACTGCCTCAAGAACTCTGAGTATCTGGCTGGGTTTATTAAGTCCTCCCTCCCTCTCCTCTCCTCTCTCCCCATAGCCAAGGAATGAGGTTCTTGCTGGTTCCTCTCTCAAAAGAAGAGCATATTCATGAGACCCAGAGTGATCAAGACCTGGAATCAACACCTAAGTGACTGTGGCAGTAAAATTTACCCCATTTTAGATCTGCTGCACTCAGGAGTGATTGTCTCAATTATTGAAGGTGCCAAGCAGAGCCGGTACATCTAAGGCTGTTTGCTTCTTCTGGGAGTGAGCTGGGGTAGCCAAGGTGGCCAGTCTGTACACCTACCCAGGCACTACTTTTAGTCAGTAATCCACAGGAGGTGCCACTGAACCTGAATATCTAGATTCTAATTCAGTCACTACATCGTTCTGTGTCACTTCCCATTGGATGTGTCTGTTTCTTCAACTTAGAGAAAAGTACCATAGTGGGCACGGTGGCTCATGCCTGTAATCCCAACACTTTGGGAGCCCGAGGCAGAGGAGTGCTTGAGCCCAGGAGATTGAGACCAGCCTGGGCAACAGAGTGAGATTCTGTTTCTTTTTCAGAAAAAAAAATATATATATAAATTTGAGAAATTCAGGAAAGGTACCAGATAGTCTGGACCCTTCCAACTCCAAATTTTTATGAGCCATAGATTCTGAGTCACCTCCTGAAAAATAATGCCTATCATATAGCACAAAAATTAAGGATGCCTCAATGGGTTTTCTGAAGACAACCTATGCTCCCTTCCCAGCTTTGCCCTCCTACTGGTCTCCTCCCCAAAACCTGTTATTCCAAGCTGGTCAGCTCAGGGTGCTTCTGGATTCCTCATTTGTGTTCACACCTTTCTTTCGGCACTCCCTAGTTCTCCACCCCAACCTAGTTTCCAAGTCTTCCCTCGTTTTCTCTGCTGTCTCAAATCCTATGAAGCCTTCAAGTCCCAATCCAAGCCTGCCTCCTCCAGGAACCTTTCTTAGATCATCACACCCCCTACCCCTACACCACGCTTTCTTTCACTGACAGTTCACTCGGTTTGTCACATCATTCTTCACACACTGAAGTATCTTTCCACAGATGTGTCTTGCTTCATTAAGATGGAAACTTGAACTCTCTGACATCCTCTTCCCTGCCCACTGCCTGGCACATGGTAGAAACTCAACATGTAGTTGTTGATCGTGAAATGTTCCTAAAATTAGGAAGAAAATACAGCATTCCATCTACCTTGATATAATTTTTTAAAAGCTTACACCTCATCTAACATTTGAGTGGCATTTAACATGTAAGCTCAAAATATTTGAGTGACGTGAATAAGCTTAACATCTAGGGAAAGACAGAAAGGAGGCAAACCTCTGGCACCAGGTTGTGGCATTTCAAAAGTACTGCAAATAATACTGAGATAGGGGAGGAGCAGAACAGTAGCATGTAATGGGAACAGGCTCTCTCCTGAGGCCTTCACACATATGATTTAACCCCAAAAGTGGTCCTATCAAGTAGGCACCAGTATTTCCTGATGTTACAGATGCAGAAACTGAGGTGAGAAGTGGCTGAGTCACTTGCCCCCAAATTCACATGGATAGTGAGTTTCTCCTTCTGTAGGCATGATAAAGACTTCCATTTATTTTCCTGTTTAACACAAAACAGAGATTTGAGTTATGCTCAGTGTGGGCTCAGTTTGGCTGGTGTTTTTGTGGTTAATGACAGAGACTCTCTAATTCCTGTCCCTGTAACACCAAAGAATGGCTGACAGTCCCCTTTTCTGGGACCATCCAAACAAATCATCTCTGTGGAAAACCAACGTGGGTTTCAGATCTAAATGAGAGGAATGTGTTATAATGGAGTGCTGTTTAGAACAATAAGCAAGCTTTGGTTTTTCTTTATGTGTCTACATTGTGTTTGTAATCTTGTATTTTTTTTATTTTATTGTTCCCCAGGAAAAAGTCCTGAATTAAGTCTTATCTACACCCCATAGAACATATAGTGTTGACATTTTTTTTTTTAACAGAAAAAGATAACTTTCACACTATTCCAGCTGAATTCTTGTGTTTGCCTCAAGAAGACCCTGAGTCCCAAAGAGGTGAGGGGACTGGCCTGCGGTTGTCTCAGGCAGGGAGCAGAGCCAGGGTGCCTTCAGAAGTCCAGGGCAGAGGGCTTTTTAATCATGCTCTTATTTTTGGCTTGGAAAACCAGGTGTGCAACTGGGTACCAGTCTCCATGCTCAGAAATGAATGAAACCAGTCTCTTTTCTTTGGTTCTCCATGGAATTTTGCTCTAAAAATTGTACCTTCTTATTTTTTGCTTAGTTACATTGGAAGTAAAAAAGAGGAAGATATGCAAAGGATGAAGATAAGTATTGTTAGTATGGAAGAGCCTTAAAAAGAAGGTTTAAGCCGTCATTTTATTTGCTCTCTCTCCTGAGAGACAGGTTGAAAGTACAACAACCTATCTGGTACTTAAAGATCTACGGAGAAGGAACATATTCTGCCTCCAATGAGCTGCCACTTCATAACACTTATAGTCAGGAAATTCTTCCTCACTTGCCCAAACCTCTAAGTTTTTGTAACTTAATTCTACTGTCTTTTATTTGTTGCACAAAATTAATAAAACTAAGAGTCAACACTTGCTGAGAGGCCACCATGTGCAAAATGCTTTACATAATTCAGGTATTATAAAGGGAACATAGTAGTTAGGGCTAGGGCTCTGGACTCTGAAGTTTATGGTCAAATCTCAAGTCTGTCACTTACCAGCTGTCGGATGTTGAGCAAGTTCCTTGATCAGTCCATGACTTAGTTTTGTGCATCTACACAATGGGTCAAAAAGTGGTTCCTTCCTCATAGGGCTGTTGTAATGATTAAAATAGTTAACATGGCCAGGCACTGTGGTCGTGCCTGTAATCCCAGCACTTTGGGAGGCCGAGGCGGGCAAACCACCTGAGCTCAGGAGTTCAAGGCCAGTTTGGCCAACATGGTGAAACCCCATCTCTACTAAAAATACAAAACTTAGCTGGGTGGTGGCGCATGCCTATAATCCCAGGTACTCAGGAGGCTGAGGCAGAAGAATTGGTTGAACCCGGGAGGCGGAGGTTGCAGTGAGCCAAGATCCCGCCACTGCACTCTAGCCTGGGTGACAAGAGAGAAACTCCGTCTCATAAAAAAAAGGTAACGCACGTAGGGTGCTTAGAACAAGCAATGTTAGCTGCCATTATGATCTCATTTAATTCTCACTATAGTTCATAAAATAGTTATTATCATCAACATCCATATTTTGTGTATAAGAAAATCAGAACATGAAGACGTTGAGTTACCCAAGGACATAACACTTATAAAGGAGAAGCCAGGACCATGAACTCAGAAAGTGAGGACTCAGGTCCATTATCTTCTACATCTCTTCCTTGGGTGGGTGGGCTAGACTCAGGGCAGGGGCACCCTGTGGGCAAGAGCCGTTGCCACTGTGAAGAGTCAGCACCCAAAGCTGTCTTTCCTCCAGGCTTCATGACCCAGGGAGAGTGGTCTGCTCTTCATAAGGAGCGACTCTAAGTCCCTTCCTGGTATCTGGAGTCCTTCTCTAGACTCCACTTCACCCCCCGCCAGGCTCCTTCATTGTGTATAAGAGGGGCACAGGTAGATTTGGAGGCACACGGTCCTGGCCTAACTCCCACCTCTGCCACTGGCTTGCGGTCCAATTTAAGCACACTGTGTGAGCTCTTTGTGTCTCAGTTTCCTCATCCGTGTAGAGATAATTATCCTCTGTCTTGACTTTGTGAAGATTAAATGCGGCTATAGCACAAACAGACCCTCAACCAATGATCTTTTTATTTTCCCTGCATGAGAAACCCAAGGTGTCCTCAACTGTAAACCAAAACCTCTTTCCAGCCAAGCACAGGTGATAAGTGGTCATTTTTACAGTTATTCTTTGATCACGTTGCTCACCATTTGAGCTGAAATCATCCACCAAGATGATTTCCTTCAACAATTGAGAGGGTGTCCGGTTGATGATACTGGTGATGGCCCGTTGTATAATGGACAGAGCTTCATTCATGAATATGAGAATGACACTGAGGGATGGGAGTTGGGAAGGATATGTCTTCTGAAGACATCTAGAAGAGATCATTTTTATAACATATTATTTTTTTAATTACTTAAACATTGCTATCCCATCTTTCCTTTCACTGTGTATGATGTTATATCGACCAATTCATCCACCCCTCAAACTCACTGAAAAGCAAAACTCTTAGTGGCTTATCACAGTAGCAAGATTTTATATTCGTTTATCCAAAATTCTCCTGTTATGGGGATAAAATCTTTTTTTATTAATCTTTACCAGATGTTTCCATTTGAACATTCAACATACTTCAAAAGGAATTCCCATTCCTCTTCTACACCCGGATTCGTTTCCTTGCTGGCAGCCTTCCTCCAGTCATTGCCACAGCCCTTTTCCCATGTTCTCAGACCCCAGTCACCTTTGACACACCCTCTACTTCACCACCAGACACAGGTGGCAAACTAGCCTGTATTTACTAAATGCTTACCATATGCTAGGCACTGGTTTACCCTTTTTATAGCTTCATTGGGGTTAAACTGATATACAAAAACTGAAGATACACATGCACCCACAATATCGTAATCAAGGTAATAAATGTATCTATCAGCTCCAAAAGTTTTTTTCTATATGTTTGCCCATTTTTAGTTTGGTATTGAGTTTTATAAGCATTCTTTATATATTCTAGACTTCCTATCAGACATATGGTTTGCAAGTATTTTCCCCCACTCCATGGGCAGTCTTTCCACTTTCTTGATGGTGTTATTTCAGGAAAAAACAAAGTTAGTTTTGATAAAGTTCAACTTTTCAATCTTGTTTCACCTATGCTTTTGGTGTCATACCTAAGAAACTCTTGCCGACCCCTATCGCCCAAGATTTGCTGTCATTTTTTTCTAAGTGTTTTATAGTTTTATCTCTTATATTTACATCTATGACCACTTTGTGTTAATATTTGTATATGGTGTGATGAGGGGTCCAACTTTATTATTTTGCATCTAGATATCCACTTGTCTCAGCACCCATTTGTTGAACAGACTATTCTCTCTCCCATTGCATTGTCTTGGCATCCCTGTCAAGAATCGGTTGATCATAAATTTAAGTGTATATTTTTCCCCCATGTAAAAGGATAGAGGGAGCTAAAGTTGGGTATTTTCATTCCACCATGGAGAAAGCTAAAGCAGGCTGGAGTTGATTGTTCCCCTTCTCCCAGGTAAGTTAGTGCCTTAGTCCATTTTGTGCGGTTATAACAGTATACCTGGGACTGGGTAACTTAATAATGAACAGAAATTTATTGGCTCCTGGTTCTGGAGGCGAGTAAGTCTAATATCAAGGTGCTGGCCTCTGGTGAGGGGCTTCATGCTACATTATAACATGGCAGAAGGTATCCCATGGCAGAAGGAGCAAAGAGAGGATGAAAAGAACAAGAGCCCAGTCCCACGATAACAGACCCCCTCTCATGATAATGACGGGGTAAGAGCATTCACCCATTCACCAGAGCAGAGCCCTCATGACCTAAACACTTCTTCAGGGTCCCACCTCCCAATACTGTCGCAACGGCAAATACATTTTCACATGAGTTTCAGAGAAGACAAACATTCAAACCACAGCAGTTAGGCTATCATACAACTCCAGCAGGTTAGGCTCTGGTAAAATAGTTTCTCTTTCGGGCAGACCTTGTTAAGAAGAACAGAATAATCTGGCATATTTCAAAATGATTCCTTTTCACCTCTTCCCTTCTCCCTCCCAGAGGCAGGAGGAGATTTTTCTCTGATATTTACTGAGGATCTGGTAGAGGTCTGGGGGGTAAAATGTACACAAGTGTAGGAGCCCCTATGACTGGGTCTCCCCGAGTGTTTAATTCTCAGACTTGTCCACAATTCATCAATTTACAGTTCAGGTTTTCCTATCCTTGCACTGGTTCCCATGGTTTCTGCTCTGGTAAAGTTATCTACCCGTCTGTCTGTCCAATTTTGGGGGCAGCAGTTTGCCCTGCAAGGTCACTTCCCTATAAGAGCTGAGAAGAGTTTATTTTTCCATTTTTTCAGCTTTTTACTTGCTGTTAGGATACAGTGAGGACTTCTAAGCTCCTTAAAAGCCAGACCAGAAAATGAAAGTGAAACTCTTCATTTTTATTATTGTACTTTTCAGTTTTAGAATGATCATTTGGCACCTTTTTATAAGTCTTTATTGATAGTTTCTATTTGATGAGACCTTGTCATTATAACCTTCCTTTAATGCTTTAGACATGGCTAACTTTAGTTCTTTGAATATATGTATAATGATGTCTTTGAAGTCATTATCAGATAAGTCCAATATCTGGGCCCCTTCTAAAGTTTGTTGCTTTGTTTTCACTTGTGCGCTAGTTACTGCTCTTTCCTGTATCTTTGTATGTCTCATAATTTCTTGTTAAAAACGTGTCATTTTAGACAAAGTATCTAGTAACTCTGTATATAACCCAGGAGTAAATGGGTAAATGTCATTGTAATTTGCTTGGTTGTTTATTTATTCAATCGGTAACTTAGTTAAACTAATTTGCAAGGTCTACAAAATCTATTTCTCCTGCAGTGTTCAGCCTTTAATGCTCATGATCTTGATCTTTTTTTTTTTTCTTCTTGTTTTTCTCTTTTAGCCTGGCTACCTAGGGGCTGCTTCTGGGTCATCATAAGCCACTTATTCATCAAAGATTGGATTTAAAGCTCCTTGGTTGATTAGATTCCTGAACATAGGTGGCATGGAGGCTGCGATCACAGTTCAGGGAGTTTACATTTTGACCTACATACTGGTAGCTTGGATTTTTTTTCTGTGATAACTCCTGAGAGAGCACAGCCTTAGGTATGCACACAGTCTTCCAGATTCCCAGGGATGCGCATGATTTTATTTTTAACCCTGGCTTCCTAGTTGTTGCCTCTGAGTCAGAGCAGTTTACTGTTCAAGCAGTATTTGTTCAGAGGTTGGGCTTCAGCCCCTAGTGCTGGTGAGGATTCAGCCGTTTGCTGATGGATCTGTGTTCTGGTTGGCAAATAATTTTCAGTCTTCCCCTCATTCAACTCTTGCTGTTCCTGAGCAGGTTCGGCCTGGGGCTTGCACACAAACTTCTAGACAACCCAGAGATAAGTGTGATCCAAGGAGGGCTCTTCTTGGCAATCGTTTTCCCTGATTCTTCCTGTTAAATTTCTGGCTGTTCTGCCATTTTGCTTGTTGCCACCAGTATTATGGAGCTATGAGCATACGTTTTAATTTTCTCTACCAAGATCTCTATTGCTTCAAACAATATCATTGGCTGGACTTCTTTATCCTCTGTTCTAAATAAGGTCAGTCCCTTAAACATAGCTAGGGAGGTTTTCATCCTGCCTTTCTTCCTGAATAGAACTTCTGCACCACTGCACAGGAGCTGGAGGTGGAGACAGAGGCCCTTCTAGAATGACACCTTGCTCTACAGGTAGACGTGCACTGGGGGAAAGGAGGTGGTGGCCCCTGGAGCCCCTGGTCTTCCTAGTTTGTGCATTCTGGTATGGAAGTTCCACTCTGACAGCAAGTTGGAGAAGGAGCAACTGGAGCCCAGTGTTCTTGGACTCATGCACCTGGAGTTGAAATTTCACCCTATGAGTAGAGGCAAAATAAAAGAAAGGAGTCACAACTGTCTCCCTCAATCACCTCCAGTAGGAATACAACTTTTGCATTCCTAGTGGAGGAAGGAGAAGATGTGAAATGTGGGTGGCCTGCCCTTCCTGGGGTGATACCAAGGACCTATGTATGCTAGGACCTGCAGGGACAGGGAGCCTCCTTCTTGACCACAGCCACCAGAGCAGATAACCTTGTGAAGTTTCCATAAGACAGAGCTGAGGGTGGGTTGGGGGAACAAGTCATGGCTCCAATGCCACAGACTCCTGCTGTTCTGAAGGATATTTAGTAGATTTTCTTGAAAGAATGTTTTTCCATTTGCATATTTCCTTAGAACAGTTTGTTAAAAAATTTAAATAATTATGATTTTTTCCAGTTAAATAGTTGTTTTGCTAGGGAAAGAAAATGTTGCACTCAACACTTTGCCATTCTGGAAGGAAGCCTCAATCCACACATTTTTTAAAGACTTAAAGTAGTTGCCAACCTACAAAACCAGACTTCTTGTCTCTTTGACAAAGCAAATATTTATCTCACTGCAACCACTTTTCCGGGACATAGCCCCTGCTCTGTCCAGAACCAGGGTTGCTGCAGTTACTCACAGTGTAGCTCGCTGTTCACCCATTCACCATCGCCCTCACCCAAAATGCTCACAACATGTATGTTGGCAGGCATTTGAATTGCAGCCTCTGAAATTGCAAGGGGATTTTAGGCAAAAGCCAAAATGCAGATGAATGCTAGCAACACAAAAGAGCACACACTCCTTGGAGAACTGCCCTGCTTAGTAGTAGTGCCAAGAGATATGAGGATGGACATATCAGAAGGACTGGACATTGGAAGCTAGGAAGATTGGACTTTATCCTAGAGGGACTAAAGGATTTTAAGCAAAGAATTGGTATGATCAAATTTACATTTTAAAGAAACCATTCTGGCTGCCATGAAGACAACAGAAGGTAATCAGCCACATGTGGACGCCACAATACAGGTGGGAAGGTATGAAGACCTCACCTGAGGCCTACCCTGGAGAAAGAAAGGAGCAAGAGAAAGATACTTTCAATCTGATTTCCCCGTCTCACTCATTACTCAAAGGTGGTGGGCAGGTGGAAGTTGAAGGGGCAATACTAGATCACAAAAAAATTATCAGATACTAACAATACCCACACACAAATCACTTGGGGATCTTGTTAAAGTACCGACTCATCAGGAGGTCGGAGCGGGGTCTGAGATCCTGAATTTCTTCCAGGCTCCCAAGTGATACCAATGCTGTAAGAGGGTGGTACAGTAAATAAGAGTAGGAGCAGAGTCTCCAGAAAGACCTGTGTTCACTCGAGTCACAGCCGTCACTTTCTACCTGCATGATCTTTTTGTGCTTCTCTTCCTTTCCTTATTTATAAGATGGTGAGGGTGGTGGTGGTTAGCAGCAATAGTATTAATAGTAAT